AGACGGTAAGGTAAAGTTCACACATTGGCAAACTGCTCTAAGCCTTTTGTTTAGTTTCAGCATTTCGGTTCAAAATTCGGAACTCCAGAAGGCTGCACCCAGTGAAACTAACAGAGAGTGGTATTCAAACAAAGCGGTTGTCAACACGGACCTGATGAGCTTTTGGAAATCTTTTTCAGAAGCTGCAACCGAGGCCAGGAGCTCAAAAGGATTACAAGTGCTAAGGCAAATGGAAACAGATAACGAATGCATCCAGAATCACAGCAGCAACTTAATGCATACCTGCTGCTTTCGTCACTACAAGGAAATTTTCATCTTTCACAGGCACGTGGTGTGGGTCACTTCCTGGCAACCATTTCCTCATGAACAGAAAAACAACATTTCTCTTTTTATGTGATGAACAAACAGTAAATCCAACATTTGAAAACGATAACAACAAAGAAACGATCAGTAGCTCTACTTCAGTGATCCATTGTGGCTTCATGAACATGTATGGGGGGATGACTGCAAGGATTTTGCCTTCCCAGCTCCCGGCGCATCTTACTGCAGACATACAAGGAGCAGAGGATTTTTTCTCCTTTTATCTTTTTTTGTATGTGTGGGCAGGAGATGTAAGAGAGTTCTTTCTGACTTTCCACAAGCCTTTGCTATGAAATGCTGCTATGAGAGGCTGTGTGCCAAGCGCAGCAACGCTGAAAGAACGCTTAACAAGCTTAATTTAGAAAACGTATCCGCTCCATAAGGACATGAGATAAATGAGAAGTATCAGACAGCGTGAGTCGACCTTCTCAGAAGGAACCTGGTTTGGAACGTGATTTCTTTATTATGTGTTTGGCAAACTAACAAACCTTCTTTATTCTTACTGTTCTTTTGAACCATACTGAGGATATAAGGCCACAGACACAAGCGCTTAGTGCTGACGCCTACACTTATGCAGCTTCTAATTCACTTTCGTTATCTAATAGTGGCTACAAGTGAATTTAATCACCGTTCCAAAAGTGGAGAACAAAGCAGGATGACCCAGCGATGAAGAACAGCCAGTTGCATCCCATGCAGTCCTGTGGTCGCTCCAGCGCCTGGGGTGGGTTCTGCTGCTGCTCCAGTCCTTGCAACGCATCCTGTGGCTGCTCCAGTCCCTGCAACAGGCCCTTGTAATGGACCTGTGGGTGCCGTGACCCTCCTAAAGTGCCCCGCAGCCGCCATGACCCTGGCAGCGAGCCTTGTGGTCGCTCCAATCCCTATCATAAGTCCGGCAGTTCAACCAGAACCAACCAGTGCCTGCGACTGTTGTCTCCTTTAAGCAAGAAGAAAAATGTCTACAAAAGCCAGGATGTTTAACAAGGGGAGAAGCTCGCAAGGTGGAGCAAGGCCATGACTAAAATGGCAGGAGAAAGAGAAAGAAACTGGAAACACCCTGACTCCTAACATTAAGGGAACTATGAGATGTGCAAAAAGATTACAGCTGTTGGCCAGCTGAGCACCGCACGCATACAAAGGTGGAAGCAACCACCGGATGGCTGGGAACAGACCCCATGCACACTCCTACAGCCCAGAGTACTATCCTGGGCCCTGACAAGCAAAGTGTGCCTTCTCGTGACATGGCACCCCGGAATGAACTGCGTCAGACAACAGGACTCATTTCTGAAGCAATCTCATGATCACCTGGGCAAAAGGAACACAGCACTGAGCTGGCTGGCATATCACATCCCCTGCCACACAGCATCTGGAAAAATCAGATGATACGTTGGCCTACGAAAGACTGCTACTAAGAGCCATTCAAGCACTGGGACGCGTCTTCTGCAAAAGCCGCCTGGTGAGTCAGCAGTCGGGGATCTGCCAGTGGGGCTGGTCCTGTCCAATGAGACGCTCTGTGTGCCACAGAAAGGGGACAAAGGCTCCGTGGTGCACGTAAAGAACGTGCTGAGCAAGGCAGTCTGGATTATTCCTGCCTCAATTTGTGGGATTACTTTTTCTGAAGGACCTGCGGGCACGTGGTGGGTAAAGCAGGATGGGGGGTGTCTGTTGTGTACCCCAAAGGGATTTGATGCTGTGTAAGAATAAACGAAGATACATATCGTGTATCAGTTGCTACACAATACCGCGTGCCATCATCGCTATGGTTGTTACAGGGCTCGACAACACCGTTACAATTAGAACCACTCCAGCTGAAGAACGAATTCTGATGAAGCCCGAACTAGCTTAGCAGGCAGAAATCCAGCAACAGATGCTCCCTCGTGTACTGAAGGACTGCTATGACAGATAGAGCCTGAAATCGTGAGTTAAATGAACTTCATGCACAGACAATTTACACGGATAGACCACAGACTATGGGAATTAGATGGGTGCACACATCAAAAAGTAAGACAGGAGATAGTATATAGTTAGGACGTATAAGATTATTACGAGACCTCCGCATAACATAAATGGGACAGGACACGGGGTGGATATCGCCTTGGTTTCATCAGGGACAGAGCACTGTTTCTTCAGAGTGGCTGGTACGATGACACGCTTTGGAGAAGTACAACACTGATAACACACCGTCAGTTGTTACGGAGGAGTTGTGAACGGAGTGAACAGTGCTCCTTTCCTCAGCTTCTCCTAGCGTTCAGGAAGAGGGCTAGGAGCAGCACAGGGAGCTGGGACAGAATCAGGACAGCTGACCTAAATCTGGCCAAGGCAACATTCCATGCCACGCCACCCTATGCCATGGTACCTAAGGAAAGTTTGAAAAAGTTCCAGAGGGCAACTGGTGCGTGGGGACTGGCTGGGCATCAGTGGGGCCGAGCAATTGTGTGGGCATCAGTTGCTATTCATAAATACACGAGTGTATGTATCGTAGCCATTCTCCACTTCTCCCTTTCTTTTGTCTACATTAGGAAATTGTTTTTAACCTCAGTCCACCACTTCTACTGGATCCCCCTCCCACCCCAGACTCTACTCCTACGCCATGGTGAGCAGGGGAGATAGCTAGAAAGTGCCTAGGGATAAAGTTCCTGCCAAATTAAACAACTCTTCAGAGAAGCAAAATTACCAAAATGACCACTGAGCAGGGCAGAATGTGCAATAAGATCACGTTCAAAGAAAGAGAAGGGGTAAAGCACCACCAGAGACAAACACACTAAGAGTTGCTGGGAAACCACTCACAGATACCACCCACGAGCACATCCCATTCACCCAAAAATCCTAGCCGTTGCCAGACAACAATGAAAACATGCAAAGGAAAAGAGCTCAGCACAAGTGTCCCTGGAACTGAGGCAGCTTGCTTGGCTGAAAACCTAACCCTGAGACCACGTGCAATAGGACAAGGGAGAGATCAAGAGAAGAGCTCTGCCATATCAGTCACCACCAAACCCCAAACATAACCCACAAAAACCTCAGCTGAGACAAAAGGATTTTCCTCATGGATGGAGAAAAGAAACAAACGGCAGGCTGGCAATACAAACAGAATGAATCAGCTTCAAGCAGCAAAAGCAGCATAACAGAAAACAAAAATGGAACTCACGCTGGAGACAAAAAGCAAACATCATTGAAACAAAAAAAAGCAACATTTATTCCAAAATGTCAAAGAAGGGAAGACGAGGCAACAAAAGAGCAACACACACATTTCAACTGTGGCTTTGACAGATTAATTGATTGAGAATGACAATAAAAACAATGTCGTTCTTGCTGACTCCTGCCTCCCGCGTTCCCACGCCGCTTCTCCTTCTCTCTTCCGCAGCGGCTCCTGAAACAGCAGCGGGGACACCGTTAGAGCTGCGCAGCGGCAAGCCCCCCACCGGAAGGAAAAGGGAAACCAACCCAACATGGCAGAGGAACTCGGCACGCCACCGCCCAGCCAAGGAAGGCCTTGCATCCCCCCTCCCCGGTTCACGCCAGCAAGAAATACTTGCAGCAGCTTTTCTCACCTCGCTGGCGCACGGCGCGCTTCCAGCCGGTGCTGCGGGGGATCACAGAGGCGGGCAGACTGGGCAAATGGAGCTGGGCACACACACAGCAGCGGCCAAAGAGTCAGCTTCCCTGCTTACAGGGGACCCCCGGCCACTGCCTCCATTGCAAAGGGCCTGGGACACTGCGGGGCACTGTCGCTCCCTGGCTTACAGGGCAGCCCCCATCCCTAGCGGCCGCGGGAGGCTCCTTCTCTCCCAGTCCGGGGGCACCTGGACCCGCACCCCGCTAGCGGGGCGGTCACCCCACACAGGCTGCCAGCCGAGCACAAGCGCTCGCGCACCCAGAGCCTGATTACAGGCGGGTGGACGACACCCCTGGAGCCACAGAGCTCGGTTTCCCCCCCAGCGGCGGGAGCGACTCTCAGCTGCCAGGCAGCGGGGCGGCACGGCCAAATGCCGCGGTCGGGACCCCAGCCCTGATTGCGGGGAGGGCGCAAGCCCAAGCCCACGTCTCGCGGCCCCGTGCCTCTGAAAGGCCGGGGCCACATTCCCGCCTGAGTACAGGGGGTCTCTCACAACGCACCTCACCAAGCAAGCACACGCGGGGTGGCACGCGCAGCCCTGCCTACAGGACGGTGCCCCCGCCGCCCACCCTCACCTAGAAGCCCCGCGGAGCACGAGGCTCCCGCCAACGCCTGAGCTACAGGCTGGCCCGCCCGGCAGCAGCACAACAGCACCAACCTCTCGTCTCTGGGAACCCAGGGAGCAACCTCGACCCACCGAGCGGGGAGGTCGCCCCACACGCAAAAGCAGCGCCTCAACCTGCACCCTCTGACGGGACAGGGAGGGGTCATTCCCACCAGCTGGATGGCTAGAGCAGCCGGCTGCAACGCCGCAGCCTCCCCACGCCTGATTACAGGGCGGGCGGGCCGCTCGGGGGACAGAGGGCTCCGCAGCTTGGGACACACGCCCCGGCTACGGGGCTGTCACGCCGCCAGCGGAACAGGCGCCCACGCAAGAACAGGCCCAAGCCCTGGCTACAGGGCGGCCTCGGCCACACAGCTACCACGTGGCCCTGATCTACACCAAGTGCAAAGGAGGAAGACAGGACACTCGCTGCGCTCGCGGGACTGAGAGGGAACACCCCTTTTGCGGCGTGCACCACAGTCCTCCGTTCCCCCCAGGGAAGTCGAAGCTAAGCTGCAGCCATCTTTGTGGGGGCCTAAAGGGAAAGCGCAGTCGCTCTCTCACTCCACAAACACAAGCAAGGAAAGGAAGGGCAACGCGCACACACAGAGGCGACTTTCCCAAAGGGAAGGACAACCCAGCGCAGCCAAACCCTGGGAATAAACCCACAACCGCGGGCAACAGACAAGAGCCTGTGACCTGTCCCTAGCCTGCACGGAGGCCACAGACCTCAACGTGCCAAGGGGCTTCCCAGCTAAAGCCAAAGGCCAGATGCCGTGACGCACACCCCGAGTACGGGGCCGTCGCACTGACAGGCCACCTCCAGGCAACGATGATGCCGAGGGGCCGGAGGAGGAAGAGGGCCGGGGAAACGGCACTACCCTGCTTACAGGGTGGCCTCGGGGTCCGGCGAGCTCCGTTTCCCACTCAGGTGCGGAGAGGTGGCTCTCGCCCTGCGTTACAGGGGCCCACGCTCCCCAGGCAGCCAAAGGAGCAGCAAGGCAAAAGGCCAACTACAGCAAAAGCAAAGACCCGAGCCCTGCTTACAGGGAGGTCGCCCAGCACAAAGCCGGCCAAGGCGCCGGCAACGCTCAAACTCCAATGGGACTGAATGTGACTGCGGCCCCGCTAACGGGACGGCTGCTTTGCCCAGGGAGCCTCTCTCCTTCCCCCCCGCGTCGGCACGCTTCCGCATCCTCTTCTCGCTTGCTTGCTCGCTCGCTTGCTTGCTTGCGCGCTCGCTCCTGCCTCCCGCGTTCCCACGCCGCTTCTCCTTCTCTCTTCCGCAGCGGCTCCTGAAACAGCAGCGGGGACACCGTTAGAGCTGCGCAGCGGCAAGCCCCCCACCGGAAGGAAAAGGGAAACCAACCCAACATGGCAGAGGAACTCGGCACGCCACCGCCCAGCCAAGGAAGGCCTTGCATCCCCCCTCCCCGGTTCACGCCAGCAAGAAATACTTGCAGCAGCTTTTCTCACCTCGCTGGCGCACGGCGCGCTTCCAGCCGGTGCTGCGGGGGATCACAGAGGCGGGCAGACTGGGCAAATGGAGCTGGGCACACACACAGCAGCGGCCAAAGAGTCAGCTTCCCTGCTTACAGGGGACCCCCGGCCACTGCCTCCATTGCAAAGGGCCTGGGACACTGCGGGGCACTGTCGCTCCCTGGCTTACAGGGCAGCCCCCATCCCTAGCGGCCGCGGGAGGCTCCTTCTCTCCCAGTCCGGGGGCACCTGGACCCGCACCCCGCTAGCGGGGCGGTCACCCCACACAGGCTGCCAGCCGAGCACAAGCGCTCGCGCACCCAGAGCCTGATTACAGGCGGGTGGACGACACCCCTGGAGCCACAGAGCTCGGTTTCCCCCCCAGCGGCGGGAGCGACTCTCAGCTGCCAGGCAGCGGGGCGGCACGGCCAAATGCCGCGGTCGGGACCCCAGCCCTGATTGCGGGGAGGGCGCAAGCCCAAGCCCACGTCTCGCGGCCCCGTGCCTCTGAAAGGCCGGGGCCACATTCCCGCCTGAGTACAGGGGGTCTCTCACAACGCACCTCACCAAGCAAGCACACGCGGGGTGGCACGCGCAGCCCTGCCTACAGGACGGTGCCCCCGCCGCCCACCCTCACCTAGAAGCCCCGCGGAGCACGAGGCTCCCGCCAACGCCTGAGCTACAGGCTGGCCCGCCCGGCAGCAGCACAACAGCACCAACCTCTCGTCTCTGGGAACCCAGGGAGCAACCTCGACCCACCGAGCGGGGAGGTCGCCCCACACGCAAAAGCAGCGCCTCAACCTGCACCCTCTGACGGGACAGGGAGGGGTCATTCCCACCAGCTGGATGGCTAGAGCAGCCGGCTGCAACGCCGCAGCCTCCCCACGCCTGATTACAGGGCGGGCGGGCCGCTCGGGGGACAGAGGGCTCCGCAGCTTGGGACACACGCCCCGGCTACGGGGCTGTCACGCCGCCAGCGGAACAGGCGCCCACGCAAGAACAGGCCCAAGCCCTGGCTACAGGGCGGCCTCGGCCACACAGCTACCACGTGGCCCTGATCTACACCAAGTGCAAAGGAGGAAGACAGGACACTCGCTGCGCTCGCGGGACTGAGAGGGAACACCCCTTTTGCGGCGTGCACCACAGTCCTCCGTTCCCCCCAGGGAAGTCGAAGCTAAGCTGCAGCCATCTTTGTGGGGGCCTAAAGGGAAAGCGCAGTCGCTCTCTCACTCCACAAACACAAGCAAGGAAAGGAAGGGCAACGCGCACACACAGAGGCGACTTTCCCAAAGGGAAGGACAACCCAGCGCAGCCAAACCCTGGGAATAAACCCACAACCGCGGGCAACAGACAAGAGCCTGTGACCTGTCCCTAGCCTGCACGGAGGCCACAGACCTCAACGTGCCAAGGGGCTTCCCAGCTAAAGCCAAAGGCCAGATGCCGTGACGCACACCCCGAGTACGGGGCCGTCGCACTGACAGGCCACCTCCAGGCAACGATGATGCCGAGGGGCCGGAGGAGGAAGAGGGCCGGGGAAACGGCACTACCCTGCTTACAGGGTGGCCTCGGGGTCCGGCGAGCTCCGTTTCCCACTCAGGTGCGGAGAGGTGGCTCTCGCCCTGCGTTACAGGGGCCCACGCTCCCCAGGCAGCCAAAGGAGCAGCAAGGCAAAAGGCCAACTACAGCAAAAGCAAAGACCCGAGCCCTGCTTACAGGGAGGTCGCCCAGCACAAAGCCGGCCAAGGCGCCGGCAACGCTCAAACTCCAATGGGACTGAATGTGACTGCGGCCCCGCTAACGGGACGGCTGCTTTGCCCAGGGAGCCTCTCTCCTTCCCCCCCGCGTCGGCACGCTTCCGCATCCTCTTCTCGCTTGCTTGCTCGCTCGCTTGCTTGCTTGCTTGCGCTCGCTCCTGCCTCCCGCATTCCCACGCCGCTTCTCCTTCTCTCTTCCGCAGCGGCTCCTGAAACAGCAGCGGGGACACCGTTAGAGCTGCGCAGCGGCAAGCCCCCCACCGGAAGGAAAAGGGAAACCAACCCAACGTGGCAGAGGAACTCGGCACGCCACCGCCCAGCCAAGGAAGGCCTTGCATCCCCCCTCCCCGGTTCACGCCAGCAAGAAATACTTGCAGCAGCTTTTCTCACCTCGCTGGCGCACGGCGCGCTTCCAGCCGGTGCTGCGGGGGATCACAGAGGCGGGCAGACTGGGCAAATGGAGCTGGGCACACACACAGCAGCGGCCAAAGAGTCAGCTTCCCTGCTTACAGGGGACCCCCGGCCACTGCCTCCATTGCAAAGGGCCTGGGACACTGCGGGGCACTGTCGCTCCCTGGCTTACAGGGCAGCCCCCATCCCTAGCGGCCGCGGGAGGCTCCTTCTCTCCCAGTCCGGGGGCACCTGGACCCGCACCCCGCTAGCGGGGCGGTCACCCCACACAGGCTGCCAGCCGAGCACAAGCGCTCGCGCACCCAGAGCCTGATTACAGGCGGGTGGACGACACCCCTGGAGCCACAGAGCTCGGTTTCCCCCCCCAGCGGCGGGAGCGACTCTCAGGCTGCCAGGCAGCGGGGCGGCACGGCCAAATGCCGCGGTCGGGACCCCAGCCCTGATTGCGGGGAGGGCGCAAGCCCCAAGCCCACGTCTCGCGGCCCCCGTGCCTCTGAAAGGCCGGGGCCACATTCCCGCCTGAGTACAGGGGGTCTCTCACAACGCACCTCACCAAGCAAGCACGACGCGGGGTGGCACGCGCAGCCCTGCCTACAGGACGGTGCCCCCCGCCGCCCACCCTCACCTAGAAGCCCCGCGGAGCACGAGGCTCCCGCCAACGCCTGAGCTACAGGCTGGCCCGCCCGGCAGCAGCACAACAGCACCAACCTCTCGTCTCTGGGAACCCAGGGAGCAACCTCGACCCACCGAGCGGGGAGGTCGCCCCACACGCAAAAGCAGCGCCTCAACCTGCACCCTCTGACGGGACAGGGAGGGGTCATTCCCACCAGCTGGATGGCTAGAGCAGCCGGCTGCAACGCCGCAGCCTCCCCACGCTGATTACAGGGCGGGCGGGCCGCTCGGGGGACAGAGGGCTCCGCAGCTTGGGACACACGCCCCGGGTACGGGGCTGTCACGCCGCCAGCGGAACAGGCGCCCACGCAAGAACAGGCCCCAAGCCCTGGCTACAGGGCGGCCTCGGCCACACAGCTACCACGTGGCCCTGATCTACACCAAGTGCAAAGGAGGAAGACAGGACACTCGCCTGCGCTCGCGGGACTGAGAGGGAACACCCCTTTTGCGGCGTGCACCACAGTCCTCCGTTCCCCCCCAGGGAAGTCGAAGCTAAGCTGCAGCCATCTTTGTGGGGGGCCTAAAGGGAAAGCGCAGTCGCTCTCTCACTCCACAAACACAAGCAAGGAAAGGAAGGGCAACGCGCACACACAGAGGCGACTTTCCCAAAGGGAAGGACAACCCAGCGCAGCCAAACCCTGGGAATAAACCCACAACCGCGGGCAACAGACAAGAGCCTGTGACCTGTCCCTAGCCTGCACGGAGGCCACCAGACCTCAACGTGCCAAGGGGCTTCCCAGCTAAAGCCAAAGGCCAGATGCCGTGACGCACACCCCGAGTACGGGGCCGTCGCACTGACAGGCCACCTCCAGGCAACGATGATGCCGAGGGGCCGGAGGAGGAAGAGGGCCGGGGAAACGGCACTACCCTGCTTACAGGGTGGCCTCGGGGTCCGGCGAGCTCCGTTTCCCACTCAGGTGCGGAGAGGTGGCTCTCGCCCTGCGTTACAGGGGCCCACGCTCCCCAGGCAGCGCAAAGGAGCAGCAAGGCAAAAGGCCAACTACAGCAAAAGCAAAGACCCGAGCCCTGCTTACAGGGAGGTCGCCCAGCACAAAGCCGGCCAAGGCGCCGGCAACGCTCAAACTCCAATGGGACTGAATGTGACTGCGGCCCCGCTAACGGGACGGCTGCTTTGCCAGGGAGCCTCTCTCCTTCCCCCCCGCGTCGGCACGCTTCCGCATCCTCTTCTCGCTTGCTTGCTCGCTCGCTCGCTTGCTTGCGCGCTCGCTCCTGCCTCCCGCGTTCCCACGCCGCGTTCTCCTTCTCTCTTCCGCAGCGGCTCCTGAAACAGCAGCGGGGACACCGTTAGAGCTGCGCAGCGGCAAGCCCCCCACCGGAAGGAAAAGGGAAACCAACCCAACATGGCAGAGGAACTCGGCACGCCACCGCCCCAGCCAAGGAAGGCCTTGCATCCCCCCTCCCCGGTTCACGCCAGCAAGAAATACTTGCAGCAGCTTTTCTCACCTCGCTGGCGCACGGCGCGCTTCCAGCCGGTGCTGCGGGGGATCACAGAGGCGGGCAGACTGGGCAAATGGAGCTGGGCCACGACACACAGCAGCGGCCAAAGAGTCAGCTTCCCTGCTTACAGGGGACCCCCGGCCACTGCCTCCATTGCAAAGGGCCTGGGACACTGCGGGGCACTGTCGCTCCCTGGCTTACAGGGCAGCCCCCATCCCTAGCGGCCGCGGAGGCTCCTTCTCTCCCAGTCCGGGGGCACCTGGACCCGCACCCCGCTAGCGGGGCGGTCACCCCACACAGGCTGCCAGCCGAGCACAAGCGCCTCCGCGCACCCAGAGCCTGATTACAGGCGGGTGGACGACACCCCTGGAGCCACAGAGCTCGGTTTCCCCCCCAGCGGCGGGGAGCGACTCTCAGCTGCCAGGCAGCGGGGCGGCACGGCCAAATGCCGCGGTCGGGGACCCCAGCCCTGATTGCGGGGAGGGCGCAAGCCCAAGCCCACGTCTCGCGGGCCCCCGTGCCTCTGAAAGGCCGGGGCCCACATTCCCCCGCCTGAGTACAGGGGGTCTCTCACAACGCACCTCACCAAGCAAGCACACGCGGGGTGGCACGCGCAGCCCTGCCTACAGGACGGTGCCCCCGCCGCCCCACCCTCACCTAGAAGCCCCCGCGGAGCACGAGGCTCCCGCCAACGCCTGAGCTACAGGCTGGCCCGCCCGGCAGCAGCACAACAGCACCAACCTCTCGTCTCTGGGAACCCAGGGAGCAACCTCGACCCACCGAGCGGGGAGGTCGCCCCACACGCAAAAGCAGCGCCTCAACCTGCACCCTCTGACGGGACAGGGAGGGGTCATTCCCACCAGCTGGATGGCTAGAGCAGCCGGCTGCAACGCCGCAGCCTCCCCACGCCTGATTACAGGGCGGGCGGCGCCGCTCGGGGGACAGAGGGCTCCGCAGCTTGGGACACACGCCCCGGCTACGGGGCTGTCACGCCGCCAGCGGAACAGGCGCCCACGCAAGAACAGGCCCAAGCCCTGGCTACAGGGCGGCCTCGGCCACACAGCTACCACGTGGCCCCTGATCTACACCAAGTGCAAAGGAGGAAGACAGGACACTCGCTGCGCTCGCGGGACTGAGAGGGAACACCCCTTTTGCGGCGTGCACCACAGTCCTCCGTTCCCCCCAGGGAAGTCGAAGCTAAGCTGCAGCCATCTTTGTGGGGGCCTAAAGGGAAAGCGCAGTCCGCTCTCTCACTCCACAAACACAAGCAAGGAAAGGAAGGGCAACGCGCACACACAGAGGCGACTTTCCCAAAGGGAAGGACAACCCAGCGCAGCCAAACCCTGGGAATAAACCCACAACCGCGGGCAACAGACAAGAGCCTGTGACCTGTCCCTAGCCTGCACGGAGGCCACAGACCTCAACGTGCCAAGGGGCTTCCCAGCTAAAGCCAAAGGCCAGATGCCGTGACGCACACCCCGAGTACGGGGCCGTCGCACTGACAGGCCACCTCCAGGCAACGATGATGCCGAGGGGCCGGAGGAGGAAGAGGGCCGGGGAAACGGCACTACCCTGCTTACAGGGGTGGCCTCGGGGTCCGGCGAGCTCCCGTTTCCCACTCAGGTGCGGAGAGGTGGCTCTCGCCCTGCGTTACAGGGGCCCACGCTCCCCAGGCAGCCAAAGGAGCAGCAAGGGCAAAAGGCCAACTACAGCAAAAGCAAAGACCCGAGCCCTGCTTACAGGGAGGTCGCCCAGCACAAAGCCGGCCAAGGCGCCGGCAACGCTCAAAACTCCAATGGGACTGAATGTGACTGCGGCCCCGCTAACGGGACGGCTGCTTTGCCCAGGGAGCCTCTCTCCTTCCCCCCCCGCGTCTCGGCACGCTTCCGCATCCTCTTCTCGCTTGCTTGCTCGCTCGCTTGCTTGCTTGCTTGCGCTCGCTCCTGCCTCCCGGCATTCCCACGCCGCTTCTCCTTCTCTCTTCCGCAGCGGCTCCTGAAACAGCAGCGGGGACACCGTTAGAGCTGCGCAGCGGCAAGCCCCCCACCGGAAGGAAAAGGGAAACCAACCCAACATGGCAGAGGAACTCGGCACGCCACCGCCCAGCCAAGGAAGGCCTTGCATCCCCCCTCCCCGGTTCACGCCAGCAAGAAATACTTGCAGCAGCTTTTCTCACCTCGCTGGCGCACGGCGCGCTTCCAGCCGGTGCTGCGGGGGATCACAGAGGCGGGCAGACTGGGCAAATGGAGCTGGGCACACACACAGCAGCGGCCAAAGAGTCAGCTTCCCTGCTTACAGGGGACCCCCCGGCCACTGCCTCCATTGCAAAGGGCCTGGGACACTGCGGGGCACTGTCGCTCCCTGGCTTACAGGGCAGCCCCCATCCCTAGCGGCCGCGGGAGGCTCCTTCTCTCCCAGTCCGGGGGCACCTGGACCCGCACCCCGCTAGCGGGGGCGGTCACCCCACACAGGCTGCCAGCCGAGCACAAGCGCTCCGCGCACTACCAGAGCCTGATTACAGGCGGGGTGGACGACACCCCTGGAGCCACAGAGCTCGGTTTCCCCCCCAGCGGCGGGAGCGACTCTCAGCTGCCAGGCAGCGGGGCGGCACGGCCAAATGCCGCGGTCGGGACCCCCAGCCCTGATTGCGGGGAGGGCGCAAGCCCAAGCCCACGTCTCGCGGCCCCGTGCCTCTGAAAGGCCGGGGCCACATTCCCGCCTGAGTACAGGGGGT